ACACACACACACACACACACACACACACACACGAGAAACAAAACAAAGATGACACAATAAAGAGGAAAAAGGAAAAAGAGATGGAGGCGAGAACGCCGCGAGGCCCCATGCCGAGCCAAGTCACGGTCGGATTTCTTTCGCTTTGAGATCCTTCGACGACGAAGCCCTGCGTTTTCTTCTTCTTCTTCTTCTTCGTCTTCGACTTCGTCTTCGTCTTCTTCCTCCTCTTCCTCGCCTTTGTGAGTCTGGCGCCGTGATTTTTCACGGTCTGCGTCGAGGGCTAATCGAAATAGTGAGCGCCACCTCAGCCCGACTATATTTAGCCCTTTTACCGTCTCTTTCTCTCTCTTTCTCGTTCTATCTCTCTAGCCTCTCTCGCTCCACATTGTGGGTTGTTTTATTTCGTCGGAGCGAGAATACCTGCTTCGTGACACCAACGATGATAATATTGCGTTTCGGTAGTACAGCATGAAACAACCTAGATTATTAGGTTTTAATATGTATGCCAGTTGATACAAGCGCAAATAGAATTTTTAATAGCATATTGTTTATGAAATCTTACTATTTATTCATGATACGTGCCCAAAATAATAAGTTTATTAATAAAATTTCCTTGTGTTATATATTACATATATTTGCTACCAAAATGATAATAAGAAAAGCACAATCATGCTGTTTTTCACCGCATTATGAAATTATAGAATTATGCGTATTCCGATATTGTTCTTGTTTATGTAAAAAATGTTAAATTCTGAAAGAAAAGTAACTAATTAATAAAATATTTTTAATTAGGTGCTATATATAAGTAAGTAACTGCGCGCGCGCGCGCTACAATAATTAATTAATTATTAAAATTAAACTCGGCGCGCAGTTTGCAGAATTGGACATAAGCATTTAAATTTACATCGAATTATTAAGCACTAAAGATTCAATTTCACCGTTTAGAACCTTTATTTCTAATTTGTTGTGTATTCACATTACTCAAAAAAACCTTGCTTAGTATTAATTACTATATATAATTGGATAAGTAATTAATAATATAGATACATAAAATAATTAATATTAATATAAATTTCTAATTACTTTATCTCACGTAACAATTACTTGTTAAAAAATTACTTAATTACAACAATTAGGTAAGCATAAATAAATGAAATATGTATTTAGATTTTCTCTTCTGCATGTACTTACACATATCCTCTTCTCTAGTCTACGTAAAAGCTTTACATTGTTTGATTCCGAGAGTTAATCGGAATATGCAAACGTCATCCCCGACTTCTAAGCCTTCATCTTCTCTACCTTCCAGACCTCCCGTCTTCTTTTTATGCCGATTGCATAGACCTTCGGGATACTTGTTCCATGACGCTCGACGCGCCGTCGGAGGTCCGAACTCTAACACCTTCGTAACAAGAAATAGAATAATGCGAATCGATGTTGATCATGCTGCAGATTAGCCTATAGCTGTGCTCCGGCATTAATCACCTGTGGTCACTGACAGGTCTCGCCGTTTCCCGTCAGATAGCGATTGATGATTGAAATAATGAGCGGCAAGTTTCAATAAGCTTTGCATTAACATCCCTCTCTGCTCTCGCGATATCGAGCGGTGTCCTTTTCACGTTCAAGTACTTACACTTCATGGGACCTAAGCATAATACGGTAGCATACGCTAATATAAACCAACTCTGTAGAAACTCAATTTCCAAGTACTTAAGGCGAACATACTTATATGATATTAATACTCAAATGAGAGAGAGAGAGAGATTTCGTATCAAGTGCGCGCTACCACCAATCCAGTTGTTCTTCGTTTTCACAAGTTCGTTATAATCTCATATATAGTATTAATATTTCCGTATATCGTCACCGTCGATGGCGTTCCCGCAAAATTGCGAAGAGATACCGCCCCCGCAAGTCTTATACGATACCATTTGTCGCGTTCGCCGTTCTTCCCACGTTGAAAATCGTGATTCGTTTCGTTATAACGTAATACATTATTTCCACGCTTAATTAGACGTAGTGATCTGTTGACATTTCGGATGACGTAAATGTTCTAAAATACATGGTACGTATAATCAGTTTTAGTAGTTGAGCTGCGTCAGTACTGCGATTACTGCGATGGTAAGAAGCTTTCCAAGTATCGTTTATATGAAGTCTTGACATTAAATACATCCCTTTATTATACCCAAAGTTAATTGGCGAACGTAAGATAATACGCGCGAAGCTTAAAAATATCGAGACAACACTCTCGCCGTTACACGTCGCCAAGAGTTAACAAGCCTCTCAGGATGACGTACGTGCCACTTTCAAGCTAAACGGCCCATTCGTATTCGGCATCGCCGGGAGACGTCACGACGAGAGTTTCGCCGGTCTCTGTGTGTTTGGGTAACACGAAACCCGGTTTTGTGTTTCAGGCAGGTATGCTGCACGGCGATCACGGCGAGTTCTGGCTGGAACCAGTCGCCGTGTCCCTGGAAGAAAAACGTGGCACGTCGTTGGCCGACGAAACGACGAGCGGCGACTTAGGCGCCGGTGCCCGAACATCGGTCTACGGAGGCCCGACAGCCGGCCGACCCCATCTCGTCTTCCGGCGCTCGGCCGAGCAGCAGCAACAGCAGCTCGAGATCGGAAAAAAAACCGGCCGTACCAAGCGACGACGCAAAAAGAAGAGGAAGCAGGAGAGAAACTGCGGCACCCGCGGTAAGAACAGACCCCGACACCTTTTTCTTCTTCCTCTTGCCTTGCGTCTTGCGCCTTTCGCCCGCGCGCCCTACAACCTACAACCACGTACCTTCGTATCGTCATCGTCCCCCGCATTCAACCGTCCCACACCTCTCATCTCACCTCTTTCTCGTGCTCTCGCCCTCTAGCTTGTAATATGTATCGCATGTATTTATGTGTCTGCCGTGTATAATGTAATTGGACGCGCTCTGTGGTACGGAACGTGGGCGTGTCATCGCCGCCTTGTCTGTCCTTTATTTTTCACTGACGATAATATCCATGCGGGGAGGAAGGCAGGGTGGGCGAAAGAAAGGGTTTAGTCGCCTCGTGCGACAATATTGAAACTCATAACGGTATTAGAATCGATTCTAACAAACCATTCTGGTATGTCTTGCGGCTACAATAATAACTTCTCAACTCGATATGCAAGGTTTCCTGATACGGGCGAAGCACTTGCACGAAACTTTCAACGATCCACCGATCTATATGCAATGATTCGAACGATAGCGAGAATTAAGTCGATTTGCCAGATCTGATTCGACCACCGTACAAAACCCGAAATTACCGCTTTCATGTAATCTTTGGCACAACTTCGACTTTACGACCCAGCCACCCTTTCTGGCGGTTCTATATTTCGATGGATTAAACATGAGCGTGTCGATATATAGAGAAGTAAGATCGTACAGTTGATACGTCTCTCTGTAGGGCAAAACGCACTACCCACAAGGGAATAATTCGCTGCAAACCCGTAATTAACTACAATGTGTATCCATTTCGGCAAGCCGGCCGAGCTATCAGGCGGATCACATAAAATCTTAATTGTAGACTTATGATCTACCAACCTACATAAATAAACGGCAGTATTAAAATGTTCCATGATATGGTAGCTATTTTCTTGCTCGATCAATTGATAAGGATTAAGAGTATTCGTACATTTCTAGCAACATTTAAAATTATTAGAACCACTAGTAAATTAGTGATAAAAACACAGTACGTAAATCAATTGCAATATTGAAACGTTCAATGCTATGATAGCTACTTTTTCGCCCCATTAATTGACAAGAATTATGAATATTTATACTATTCTAGCAACATTTAAAATTATTAGTGTCACAAGTAAATTAATGGTAACAACACATAGTACGTAAATCAACCACAGCATTAAAGTGTTCCATGATATGGTAGCTATTTTCTCGCTCGATCAATTGATAAAAATCACGAGTATTCGTACATTTCTAGCAACATTTAAAATTAATTTACACAAGTAAATTAACGTAAGTAAAAGCACACACAATATTCGTACCTTTTTAGCAAATAATTTAAAATTATTAAGGTCACAATACAAGTAAATTAACGGTTCAACAATAAGAAAATAATGACCATAACGGTCAAAGCTATATCTTTAATGCTTAAATAATTCAATCTGAATTACTATATATATATATATACTATATAATGTACATGCATATACATATACCATATTTGCAGTCATTCGAACTGTGCGTCGAATCGGTTTTCCGGACTTATAAACACAATTAAACTACTGTAGTAATATATCACGAATTAAATTGACAAGCAATTTTAATAATTTAATACTCAATTAGGCATACTATTAGAAAGATATTAATGTGCTGAAAAACTGTAAATAAATTTAATATGTTATTACACAGTTGGAAAAAATGTGTTAAATTTAACATAATTTTTTTAATTAATTTTACACAAGATGAATATATTAGAGAAGGTAACAAAAATATTATGTAAGAGTAATAAATATAAAGAAAGATAAAATTGACACAGTTTGGAAACAAACCGTGGGAACATATTTTTTTTTTCAGGAAATTAACATTTATGATATGTTAAATTAACACATATTTCATTCATTTGTCTTAGAATTTACGTTTTAAAATACATTATTTTTGTTACTTGTTCACTTACTCATAAATTGTGTCATTTTGACATTAAGATACATTGAATATCAATTTCACAAAAAATCTTTAAATAACATTATGTTAAATTAACACTCGAATATGTTAAAAAATTCAACACAAACTGTTAACACAAACGTGAGTGGACCGTTTCCAACACAAATACACAAATTTTTTTACTGTGTACCGATTTGACGCGCAGTTCGAATGATTACAAATATGGTATATATGCATGTACATATATAGTATATATATATATAGTAATTCAGATTGAATTATTTAAGCATTAAAGATCTAGCTTTGACCGTTATGGCCATTACTTCTATTTCTTATTGTTGAATTTTCAAATGTACGGTCCAGTAAGATTTTTATTGTTCTTATTGTGTTTAAATTAACGGTAAAAGCACAGCCACTAAGAAATAGAAATTAGCTACTACATTGATCATGACAGCACGTGAAATATCCGACAGAACCGCGTCGATTGACAGAAACGCGGCTCGAATGGCAAACTCAACCAGGCCTTGTCCAAGTTCAAGGCCGTGGGCGAAGGAAACATTATCAAGCGAAGCGGTGGCATCGTTCCAAAAGATCGATCAGTACACCTCGTCATGTCGAGGCTCTTGTCGTTGCTGACACGACGATGATGGCTTTTCACCAGGATGGCGATGTGGAGACCTATCTCCTAACCATTATGAACATGGTGTCCGCGCTTTACCTCGATCCAACCATCGGCAATTTCATCAACATTGTGGTGGTTAGAATTATTCTCCTCGAAGAAGAAGACGCGGAGGTATTTACTTTACGTTCAAAGTCGCTTTTAGATCAATTACGCGATAAATGTGTAATGATATGTACGAATTCACGCACCTTGATAGATAGAACGATTACTTGAGATGAACCGTTTCTGTCCCAGCAAAGACTGGACATCACGGTGAACGCGGATAAGACGCTATACAATTTCTGTAAATGGCAGCAGAAGCTAAATCCGAGCAATGATTCGCATCCGAATCACCACGACGTGGCGATCCTGGTGACGAGAGAGGACATTTGTTCGCGTGCGAATACTCCTTGCAGTACATTAGGAGTGGCTCACGTCGCTGGCATGTGTCAACCGGATCGCAGCTGCAGCGTCAACGAGGACAATGGGATCACATTGGCGCATACAATCACACACGAATTGGGGCATAAGTAAGCAAAATCGAAAGAAGAATCGGAAAAGAGACTTTGTTTTAAAATATCGAATCAAATATTTTTCACTTGCAAAATTAAAGCGTGATAATGAGATTTGAAAAAATATGTCTATGCAATTTTCAATGTTCTACCGCACATTCTGTTCAGCTTTGGAATGTACCATGACACGGAAAAAATTGGCTGCAGTAAACGCGAAGGCGACACTCTGCATGTGATGACGCCAACCTTTGAAGTGGATGCTGTTGGAGTGGCATGGTCTAGATGCTCTAGAAGAGACATCACAAATTTTTTGGAGTAAATAAAAGTTTAATAAATTCAACTAATTCAGGATTCTGTAACACGTTTATTTTCTACGTAAATAAATAATACAACACGTATATATATGGATCCTCGAATTTCAGCCAAGGAAAAGGCGATTGTTTGGAAGATGAACCGGCGGATAACGATTACGCATATCCGGATTTGCCACCCGGTGCAATGTATAATGCTGAGCACCAATGCAGACTCCAGTTTGGCGTGAGAGAAGCTTTTGTCTGCTCCCCTTTACAGGAAGTAAGCAAAGACCATAAAGATGGTAAATGGCCAGTCTGAATCCAACTAGGATCAACCCGATTTAAATGACTGCGGCATTTATGATTACAGATCTGTTCGAAACTATGGTGCATCGTGGACGGCTCCTGCACTACTATGCTACATCCAGCAGCTCCAGGAACACATTGTGGAAAACACATGGTACATAACGAGAATTTCTCTTAAAATAGTGAATTGTTTTTTTAAGAAAATTTTTTATAAAATATACGCCATTTATCCATGAATATCTAGGATGTTTTTATACTTCAGTGACGAGAAATTGTTATAGATATTATTTTGTATGGATACTGTTTAACATATCTTTTTTTTGGTAACTGTTCTTTACGAATCTTTAAATATACAATTCCATCGAAAACCCGCAACAAAAAAGCATTATATTAAAATCTTTATTTTTTTTAGAAATACTGTCATAAGCTATTTAAAGTGCTCATTTTATTTGATTTCTATATTTACTTGTTTTTTTAAGTGATGAAATTCATATCCATATAATGTTCTCAAATACTACTAAATCAGAAAACAATCATAATATACAACAATGTTGTCATGGCTAGGCATGTATTTGAAATACTTTTATTTGAAAAACAGTATTGGTAAGACAAATATATTTTGTATTTTGTATTTCATAGGAGCATATAAAAGTGTTTTGTATTTCGATATTAATAACAAAAGATTGAAAGTATTTTGTATTTTGTATTTATTTCAAATACTAACATTGACAATCAACCTCATTATTTCAATTACAAAGTACCAAAATTTTTTAATCTTTCGATTTTAAATACAAAAATATGTAATACTTTTATGTGATTCGCTGAAATAAAAAATACAAAATACGCTTATATTACAAATAGTGTGTTTTAAATAAAAGTATTTCAAATACATGTCCAGCCCTGAATGTTGTTAATAATAGTGATTATAATTAGGATGTCTTGTGATTTCAAATACATGCCCAGCCCTGAATGTTGTTAATAATAGTGATTATAATTAGGGTGTCTTGTGACAATTAAAGGGTGACTCTTTCCAAATTAATTAGACTACGATTTATCCAAGAGGATGTGTTCAGTGAAGATATTGAATTTTCTAATCTAGTGGTTTACGTCGCTCTTTGCGTAGTGGTGTCAAAATCAAGAATGCGTGCCCATCGTCGATCGACCGCGGCAAATCGATGGCGGTTGGGGTGAGTGGGGGTCATGGAGCGAGTGCTCGAGAACTTGCGGCGCCGGGGTCTCGATTGTCGAGAGGAAGTGCGATCATCCGGAACCCGCACACGGCGGAAAGTTCTGCATAGGTGAGAGACGCCGCTATAAAATCTGCAACATGCAACCTTGTCCGGAAGGCACGCCGAGTTTCCGCGCTGTGCAATGCAGCAACTACGACGACAAAGAGTACAAGGGAAAGAACTATACTTGGCTGCCATATTTTGATCAAAGTAAGTGAACCTTTAAGTGCTATGTGTGACACGTGAAACGCTTCTCTGCGATCGCGTACTACACAGTGTTTCAGGCTGTCTGGGATAGATTTCAGGGATCAATAGATCTCACACACACACAAAGAGTTATTTTGTTGAAAGATTTAAAATTTTGCTAGAAATAGATTTGAAAATAATTTTATTAGACCATCAAACTAATTATGTTGAATATTAAAAAATGATAAGCAATGTTGCAAAAAATGTTGATATTCTAGCAATCAATTTGAGTTTTCAACAAAATTATTTTGATGGTCCAACAGAATTATTTCAGATCTGTATCCAGAAAATTTTAGATTTTTTAACAAAATTATTCTCTTCACGTATAAAAAAAATCAACTCTTTTTAAAGAATCTGTATCCATCGACATATTTTTAAAAACTATGCGTCTAGTCACACGTGACGTTCGACAATACTCGTTCATATTCTTTGATCGTGTTTTTGCAAAAAGATAACAGAAAAAGCAAAAACGTGAACTAGAATTTCCAGATGTCACGCGCAATGTTGCCGCACGATCGATTGCGTACCTTACAACTGATTCGAACAAGGACGCTGTGCTCGTTAAAAATGCATCGGAGGACACAAATATATTTCTTAATAAAAGTTTTTTAGTGAAATCTACCAATAGGGAGTTTTTGCAATAACTTGTGGCTCGAGATACGATGAACATTAAAGTGTTTAATTAGTTGTTAAGAAGAAGATAATGTGACCTTAGCGTTCACCGTATCTAGATAAACGGTATTGCAAAAACTCTCTATTCTCTGAAGTTTGTCCCAGAGGTTCTGAAACAATCTGTATATAATTTCCGTACTCCATGGTTTTCCAAAATTGCGTCTTATTAATGATTCAGCGGTTTAAACACTAATTACGACGCGAGATTTGATTTGCATCGTTCCATTTAGCGGAACCTTGCGAGCTTTATTGCACCGATACAGATGAAAGCGTAATCGTACCTTGGGGAGAGGCTGCTCTCGATGGTACTCCATGCAACGTTGGTACCAGGGACATGTGCATCGCTGGCATATGCAGGGTCAGTGTTCTTCAAAAGAATTACATCTGCAACAGAATTTTAGAAGTTAAAAATATTATAGCTTTCGATTTTTTTATGAAAAAAGCTTTAAAGATTAAATAACTCCAATTTTTAGAAAGTCGGTTGTGATTGGATGGTGGATTCCGATGCTACGGAAGATCGCTGCGGTATTTGTCACGGTGACGGTACTCAATGCGAAACTACTAATGGCGTTTACGATAAAAACGAAGGTCCCGGATATAAGGAAGTTATTATCATACCTTCCGGCTCTCGAAATATTAAAATCGAGGAGGTCGGGAATAGTAAGAATTATATTGGCATCGGCGTACCGAATTCTGACAAGTATTTCCTGAATGGAAAACGGTGCGTATATCTTAACCGTAAAATTATAAATTATGGAATAACTATCGCGAGTAACTACACTGTAAAAAGAAATGCGTTTTATTCTTGGCCTCATTTTTCAAACACTTGAAGATGTTTTAGTTTTAAACTTTTTCAATAGACAAAACACTACGTGTGGTGTTACATAACGCATAGTGTTTTAAATCTAAACACGTATAGTGTTTTGTCTATTGAAAAAGTTTAAAACTAAAACATCTTTAAGTGTTTAAAAAATGGAGAAAAGAATAAAACATTAATATCTTAAAATTAAACACTTCTTTTTTCAGTGTAATTGCGAAATGAAATTCTAAAGCTAACACGACTATAATAAAAAAAAAATTAAAAGGTCTCACACTCAAGTTGTATGTATATTTTTTATGGGACGATATTTTATGGGAAAAATGTATCTACCGTAGTTTAAAGGATTTTGAAGAAACAAATTTCCGTGAAATATTAATGTGACGAAACACTTAAACTAAGATTCTGATCGGACAGGCAGATCACTTTAGCGGGCGAGTATGAAGTCGCCGGGACGCCAGCTCTCTATGAACGTGATCGAGATAGAGAGAAGATCAGAATCCCAGGACCTATTAAAGAAGACATTGCGGTCTATGTGAGTACATTCGAACGATATAAATTGCTTAAAACGCAATAGGTATTTAATAACCAAAAATTAAAACAATTTCATGTTTATTTTGTAAATTGTCGTAATTGCACTTTTATCGTGTACCTACATGTAGTCTAATTCTGAGTCGACACAAACTAAAATTAACATAACATGATGTTATAATTTCGCATTCAGCATTATAAATGTAATGTAATATATAGTCTTACATAATAATTACATAATTATTGAGTGCGAAATTATAACATTGATGTTATGTTACTTTTAATCAGGAACCTGGACCGAAACCGAAACCGTACCCAAATTTTGTAAAGTTTATAATACCAAAACCGTAACCGAACTGGTAAAATTTTACGGTTCTTTCGGTTCTTTATTCGGTTCTTAATTTTTTATCTTTATCCTTGTTCTTAATCTTTGGTCCTTCGTCGAAATCATCAATGTTCAATCCAGTATACTATCGTCGCCAGCTCTCTTAACAATCGGAATGCAAATACCTCCAACACCTCATATGATATAAGAAATCTGACGGGATCAAATTACGAGACATATTTAATGTAAACTTTTTTAAGATACTAGCATTTTTTTATTTATATCTTCTTTATCAACATGTTGCAAGAATTTATTCTAAGTCATGAATTCAAGAATACATATGTAGACTTTATGTATAAATACCCAGATAGCAAAGCGTGTCGCAGCAAAATCTCGCAAATCTGTGATTGCTTATGATGCTGACAACTTGCCATAGTCTTCAACGATTTCGAATATACCGACATTGTAGCAACATGCAGACAACAATGCATACGTATTGCTAGCAGTTTAATAGCAAGATAGCTACATCAATGTTATCTTGCGTTGTCGGCAATATGACAGCATTGTATAATGCTGCATATTATTATAGCAACATGATGGCAATAGTACGAATTTTGATAACGACGATTTTAAAGTTGTCGGCAAATTGCTGGTAAGTTGTTACTCAATGTTATCATATCGTGAAGGCATCAAGTTGCCAACAAATGAGGACTCAGTTGCTGCAATTCTGGTAGCAACACATACTTAGCAATGCATACTTAGCAAGCAATATGCCAGCAACAAGACAAACACGTTGCTATCTGGGTAAGTGAGATCTATCTATAAGAATAAAATAAGTTGTAAGAAAAGACCAAGAGAAATGTGCTTAAAATAATGTTTACGTAATTTTTGTTCAGAGTTACGTGATCAGTTGACGCCTCTCTTCGACTAGGTTCTCTAGACTGAACGGGTGAACACGCTCTCTCTCTCTCTCTCTCTCTCTCTCTCTCTCTCTCTCTCTCCTCTCCCTCCTCCTTACTCTTCTTAATAGAATAAATTTAAAAAATAAATAGAGTAAAAAAACGAGTAAGTAGAACCGAAAAAAAACCGTTAAAAACCGTATTTTTACGGTTTCGGTTTTCTTTACTGGTAAAAAATAACCGAAACTGAAACCGGAACATTTATTTGATATTTTATTGAACCGAATCGGAACCGAACCGAAAAAACCTTTCAGTCCGAGTTTCTACGTTTAATTGATGTCGACTGTTTGCGAGTTTACGAGTCGATAAACTTCAAGTTTTATTTTTTCAATTATCATCCTCAATAATCTATCTTCATTATTTCAGTTAATTTACAGAGGTCAATATCGCAATTTCGGATTACGTTATGAATATACCGTACCGAAAAAAGAGCCTGATCGCGCCCCGGAATATTCGTGGCTATTCTCCGACTGGACCCTCTGCACAGTCACTTGCGGTGGCGGCACTCAAACTTCGTATGCGGTCTGTCACGAAAGAAAAAGCGGCATCGTCGAGGACCTCTTCTGCGACGGTATAGAAAAGCCAGAGCAAAAGTCGCGTGAATGCAATTCGAATCCATGCCCTGCGAGGTAAGCCAACTTCGAATCCGATAAAACGATTGTAACAACAAACTCCGAGAAATACCATTGCCTCGTAAACGAAAATAAATTCAAAGTGGTTGGATAAAGCTCCATTCGATTTTCGATGGCATCTTTTATGCATTCTCGCTTTACGATTGGAGCTATTAGCTTCACGTTTATGTTACAAATTGTTAGAGAATTTGAAGACATATAATGAAATGATGAAGATACTTTTTGATATCAAGATACAACGAAGATATTCCTTTTAGAAAGTGTTTGCACTTGTAGCTTTTTCAATGTTTCAGATGGTGGGTAGGTCCATGGCAAATGTGCCCTGTCACATGTGGTGATGGCGCACTACGTAAGAGATCGGTGATGTGTGTATTCTCTGGCACGGGTACTGATCGATCAGACCTGGCTTTGCCCGATCGCGACTGCGACAAGCATATGCGGCCCGAAGAAATGGAGCTATGCCCCGATCTACCGCCGTGTGGGCCTACTTCGGAGGTACCATTGATCGTGTATGCTGACAACAAGGACATGTCATTCTACAACATCAGCTTGAACGAGCAGGACGGTATCACGATAGTCGATGGCCTCACCACCGAGGAGCCAGAGATCCTCGAGTTCGACAATGTTGTTGACGAGAACCCAGACAATTCCATGTACAACACCAAGTCAAAGTGGACAGTATCGAAGTGGAGCCATTGTTCGAATGGCAAGAGGAGTAGAAAGGTCACCTGCTCCGTTCCAGGCGATTGTAATCCGAATAATAAGCCACCCAGTATTGAGGACTGCTACAGTGGAAAATGGATTACCGGTAAGTTACTAATTAATACATCGTATCAATTTATTATATATAATACAATATTTATTATAGTAAAATATTTATTTTTCTTGTAATTATAATAGAAATTCTCCTCTTTATTCTTCAACTGAAATTATAAAAAAAATTATATAAAATTTTACAATTGAGTAAAAATTAATTTTATAAAATTTTACTATATTTGATAATATTATAAAACGTATGTATATATATATATATATATAAAGGATATTCGTGTTTTATAAAATGTTCATTGAAAAATATTATAATAGACAAAAAATTATAAATAAAGACAGAAAAATATGATTATTTTTAAATGCTAGAGATAGACTTTCGCTAAATATGTTATATATTTATAAACATTATTACATGACGGTTTATTAATTGCGATTCCAGGAAATTGGGGAAGTTGCAACGCGACTTGCCTCGTGAAGTCTGGAGTTAAACACAGAGAAGTACAGTGTCGTGATCGCGCGTCGGACTTGATGTCAAACGATTGCAATCTCGACAGAAGACCATTTGATATAAAGCGTTGTTATTACCGACGGCAATGCGCCAACGAGAAAAATGGTAATTTCATTCGCACAATTAAAATGTACTCTCGAAAGCTTTCCGCGCGTCTTTCATAAAATGTCGCTTTTATGTGAAAGAAACTGTTTTAAAGTAACTACGGTATATATAAAGAATATGTATATAAAGAACGTTTTTGAGAGATCTCGACAAAGGATATTCTAAAAACAAACGATGATTTCTCTCTTTTAAAAAACATTTTCAATATTGTTTGCAGGCGTCTTTGTGAAAGACTTTGCTATTGTCGTGCAATTTTAATAATTCGTTTCTTTCTATACTTAAAAGTTACATGTAATTTAAAAGATTAAGCACACCTTCTTTTCTTCTCTCCTCATATTTTGTCGCGCCATTGTAATTGATGTTGAATGGAAGTTCAAGGTAATCTAGCAGAGTTATAACACAGAGAATTAGAACGCGTAGCCGCATGTAATGCTAAGTTATGCTAGTTACGTTACAGATGGTTTGGCTTGTCCAAACTTGCGGAATATGCTCTTGTCCAAAGGCGTCAGGAAACTAGAATTTATACGAGGAAACCGCGGTTCGTAACGACTTGCTTTATGAGATCATACGCGACGTCGCTCGATTTGCATGCGATGCACCTAACACGTGCTCGTACACATGTTTGATAAATACTTATTATAAAGTACTTTAACCCGTAAAAACAAATATCATATACAATGTGACCTAAATGGGTCCTAGAAGTTTGCACATCAAATATTCAAAGAAATTGATTTTTTCATTTATAATATTAGATATTTTTTTATAATACGAGGAAAAAATTTTTTTAACTTATTTATTTAATTCTCTGCTTGTAACATAAATATAATCACTTGCAAATCATGCTACTGTATATTGATATTTTTATAGGTGAATATAGAATTTATATATTATATGTTTATAAATAAAAAAAAATATAATAGATAAATTCTAGTTGTGTTGCGAATACAACTAAATAAGTTTGAAAAGAATTTTTTCTCATATTTCTCAAGTGACCGTGTATAGATCTTCATATCTTATCTTTTTCAGATTGCAAGGATAGCGTGGTTCCATCGTGTGCAAACTACAGGCGCATGTGTGATGTATCATCGATCGTACGAGAAAAGTGTTGCGCCACGTGCACAAAACGACGGCGACACGTTCGTCACAACAGACGGCACATCTTTACCGAATAATGAAATAAAGGATTAACAAGCTGAGAGTGCAAAAGTATTTTGAAAATAAATCCTTTCAGCGGACAACACATCCGTCCTATTTCTCCACATTATCTGAATTAAGATAAAAGCAAAATAGTGAAAAACTTTATGCTTGTTTCGTACGTGATAACAAAAAGATGGAAAAACGTATAACAGAGGTGATATTACGAGATTATATTTGTATAACTTTGTACTACCGCGTTTATATATATATTATATATATATATATATATATATTGTATATTTTTTATCAAGAGTATATTTTGTAACCGTAGGGCCATTTTTATATGTGTGTATCACCTTTTATAAATCCACTTTACGTTTGTTAAGATAATAATTGCAAAACATTGCAAACGCCAAATATATATTTACCAGATGCAATATTTTAATAGAGAAACGATCAAAATAGTAATATGAGACTAATATTATTAAAAAATTTCTATATAATAAATAGAAGTAACGATTCATATATTAAAAATGTTATATTTATCGTTTCATTCAATGTTTTGTTTAAATAAATAATGTACTAATTACTGTAAATTTTAGATAAGATCGTTTTATAATACTAAAAACGTTTTTCTACAGAGGTATTTAATTGTTATATCATGCAATAAAAAATAGTTTAAATCATTTTCGAATTAAAGGATTTTTTAAATATATCTGTATATGAAAAGCATAAAACTATTTAAAAAATGCTTATTTGTATATCTGGCTGATTAACGCAATAAATCTTATAATAAATCTTTCAAATATTTATACTTATGTACATAATATAAAAAATGTTGATACAAAATTTAGAAATAATATTTTTATATGCTCATTTCTACATTGTAATAATATAAAATCCATACGTTAGAGAGCGTCAATGATCGGTCAAAAAGTTAGATGTTATGAATATAAAATCCATTTTCATATACAAAAAATTAATCAACATAACAAGAAAAGAATAAACTTGCATTCTCTTATTATTACATTGTAACAATTTTCATTAATTTACGTCAAATTATTTTGTATACATCTAAAATAAATTCCTTTTTCTTCTATTTTCCTGGAAAAAAGAACATGAATGTTTTACAACCACAGCTGATTTATAAATAGCTCGTAATATGCTGCTTACAAAAAACACTTTGTTAATATTAATATTTAGTTTTATATGTTAGCTTAAAAAATTAAACCTTAATTATTAATTTAATGTTAAGAAATTGTAAAATCTCAATAAAATCGTTCATTTTTGGACATTTTATAATACGAATAATGTCACAAATTTTATTTAAATTGACACATTTATTTAGATATAATTATTATTAAACATTAATTTATCCTATTTCCTTAAGATTTGCAACAAAATTAGACTTTTTACATTTTTTAAATGATAGAAAAAGAAAAGTAGTTCAAGATATCTTTAATAAATTCTACAAAATTTATTTTCTGATCCAAAAATTTTGTATTCGTTCTCAATAAGCTCACTAGCGAGACGATATTCATTTCAAACCGCCATTTGTATAGAAGTCTATTTTAATTACTTGCCGTAAGTGGCGTTGTCGTCACTATCGTAAAAGACCTTGAAAACGTCCTTGAGTGTAGTATTACTCCATATTACTCCAGACTACACCCTCCATTCATGAGTTCTATAACCTGTACATCTTTGTTTTGACAGTTCACAAATGATTACTCCCGCGCCACAAGTCAGCTTGTATGATTACGATCGAATTATGAATAAGATTTTTCGCCTGAAAGGCGTGTAACGCACAATAAAGTGATGTTTATTTGTTACGCTTTGTAATATAACCCGTGAAAATGTCCGCAATTATAGACGACAAAGTTGTCGCAGGTGCGAAGAGTTCAAATACTGTAAAGGAAGATCCAATCGTAGCATTAACGGTATGTAAAATATATTAAATCTTTCCTGTACATTATTTTTTTCTTCTTTTCTCTTTAATTTTTATTGATATGTCACATTTAAGTATTATTTTTACCTGCTGACTGCTGTCAATTTCAGGAAAGAGTAAAAGCTTTGTACCTCTTTCGAGATCGTTATTTTGAGACACATTCTATTGATGAAGCGATTAAGAAAAATATTGACGTGGAAAAGGAAATGAAAGATACCCTGAGCAAGTTCGATGAATGTAAAGGATATGAAATTGATGGTTCACGTGCAAAGTATTATTATTTAAAGGGAAGAGCTCTAAACGTAGTGGATCGTTTCATTCCTCAGGCAGAAGAACTTTTGAGTAAAGCAGTGAAATTGGAGCCCAAATTAATAGAAGCTTGGAATGAGCTGGGGGAATGTTATTGGAAGAATGATGATATAAAACAAGCAAAGAATTGTTTTGTTGGCGCTCTGCAACATGTATATTTCTTTCTTACCCTATTTAACATAGCTTTCATTAGTTGAAAAAACAAAATTTTTAAACAATAAATTATTATATTACATATATATGGCATATATATATTTCATTTCTTTTTGTAGGACAAGAATAAAGCATCTTTACGAAATCTGTCAATGGTGCTTAGACAGGAGCAAACATCATCCTTTGAAGAGCGAGTAAAAAATATTCAACAAGGAGTGGAATATGCTAAGGAGGCTGTAAGCCTTGATACAACTGACGGAATCTCCTGGGCCATATTAGGGAATGCCTACCTGTCTTCCTTCTTCACTGTAGCACAAAGTCCGAGTACGTTACGTTCATGCATGTCAGCATATATGCAAGCGGTAAGATTATGATGAATGACGAATATTTGTGTTTATTATATAAACATATTATTGCAAATGTACAATTTTGTCTTTATATACTAAAGCCTTAATTATTTTTAGGAAAAAGATATTATCGCAAGAAGTAATCCTGATTTATTTTATAATAAAGCAGTAGTAAGTATGAATATGTTTCTGTAATGTTTATGTTGATATTTCTTTTCTACTTGAAACTCCTTTTAATTTGCAAATTTATTTTAGGCTCTAAAATATCAAGAAGAATATAATTTAGCATTACAATCATTTGAAAATGCAATGGCGCTCGATCCATTGTGGGAAACACCGCGCAACAAACGAGATGAATTATTACAATATCTTAAAGATATACAAAATTCAATTAATAATAATGGTTATGTAAAACCAAAACGATTATATCAATTGATACGGGTATTTATATCATAGAAATTAATAATAATAGATAATTAACAGCTAGATATATTAATATACATGTTAATATACATGTGATAGTATAACATGTGATTTTGGCACAATATACATATTTATAGGTTTATGATTAAATGTAGGCATTGGATATTAAACACTTAGGACCATACAAAGATGGAGCATATACATACGGGGGAAAGTCTATAAAGTTAGAATTAATTCCTTTACAAGAATTAATTCTTGGATTGAACATGGAAAAAGTCGTATTTGGAAAAGTAGTTTGTTGGATTCAGGATTCTGATTGCGTTCCTTTGTAAGTTTATCTACTTTCTATATTACACAAATTTTTCTGCTGGACATTGTCCAACTTGTTAAAGCTACATAATTACTATTTTTTCCTATTTCAGTGCTTTTTGTCTCGTAGACGAACAGAAAACATGTATTGTTGTTACTGTATATAATTTAGCTAAAGGCCGAGGAGTTACGGTTGGAGATTCTGTTGGTATACCAGAACCTTTCGTTATACATCAAAAATTTTCCTATATGAATAATGTAAGTGTTATATACAGTACATATTTTACGATGTAAATCGAATCTTGAAACTTATAATAATACATTTTTCCTTCATTCTTTTTTAGGATTTTGATTACAAATCTATTCGCGTTGAAACACCAATTGTACTTGTAGTTAATGGAAGAAAATTAGGTCGAGAGCAACAAGCCAGCGCAAATTTGCATACTTTTAAAAAGACAGATTAGATTTAATGATGAACGATATGTCGAGCATTGAATCATGTCGAGCACGTTCTCAGTTATCGTCAGTTATAAATAATTTTCGATCTTACTCTTATTTTTCAATAATAACATATACTATTTTAATAATGAAACTCATCAGTATATATTTAAGGCTTTGTACGATAAATTTAAAACAATATATATATATATATTTCGAAACGTTAAATGTACCAATACGTGTTGGTAATAATCAAAAAAAAAGTTGAATATATACTACGTTATATCAATTTTGTATTTTATAACAATGTATGAGAAATCATTTACGTGCACATCTAAACTGCCGCATTGATAAAACTTGTAAGAAAAAAGATATTGATACATATTTTTTTTCATTGTGATAATAATTATATGCAAGTACAGTTCGCAAAAGCAGTAAATTATTATTAATATCTGCCAATTATTAATTTATAGAGTTATAAGACTTCGCTTATATCTTTTATTTAAATTCACATGACTAAAGTAGAAATATAACATTTTATATATATGTTTTAAATAGTGAATGTATTTTAGTCTATTATTTGATATTTAAATGTTTTAGAACCCGTTTGTTGATCTCCCGAACATTTCTGTATATTTAGTTAGAAACAAGAAGTTTCAAAACAAAAAGTGAAGAATTTAGAAACGATCAAAAGAGGTATGATTCGTTGCTAAAAAATCAAACGAAAGATTTATTATTTACGTCTGAATCAGCGAATTCCAGATGGACTCTTATTATTTTACTTATCGTGAGAATTCGATCTGTTATAATAAATTTTGATCATTAAGTTCCGCTGCGTCTAGATTAACTAAAATATAAACGTGCGAGGGACTGTCTTTATATTTTCTGAGAAGCGGCAAAATAATCAGTCCTCGGAAAATATAGAGAATTTGATTTATTTATTTTATAAAATCATATTATCTGATTAATAATTTGTCATGATGCAATTAAATTATTAAAAGAGATAGTATAAGGTATAGAATGAAAAAATAATTTTGATAGAAATTTTATAGTTACATAATTTTTATCGACATTAATTAGTATTAGATTATCAGATTAATTAGATAATTCAATTTGCATAGTGTCATAAATAGTCATAGTATCGGTATTTTCTTTTATATCACGATATACTGTTTGTTCGAAGCCTGTACATTAAAATATTAAAACAGAACAAGGGTTGTGAATATGTATGTGTGTTTTGCGGACACACAAGGGTATCACGATAATTTCAAAAGAAGAAGGGAAAAGAAGAAAACAAGAAAACAGTTTTTTTGTATCAAATCAACTGTTTTGCAATGCCATTAGATTTGTTGTATAATATAAAATTTCCTATAATATTGATCCACAATATAAATTCATCTGCGAATACACATGATCATCTTTTAACAACTTATACAGAAAAATGTGTAAGAGAAAAAACTTTCTCTGGTATTATACAAAAAAACAACAGGGCTTATTATAAGATATAACTACCTACACATGTAAATTCGCATTTCAAGCGAAGTATTGATCCATTGATCCGATCTGCATATGTTGTACAATGCATATCGGGTTAAACAAACAAAATGCACAAATCATTTTTTATATATATAAATATATAAAATACATGCTACTATCTCTTTTGTACGTCAATGGATCAATTTCGAGTAAAGAACTTACGGTATATTGTGACACCACGTTCTTCAGTCAGATCGTACGAATAATGTTTGTGATATATTAAAAATATTTTGTATAAAGATGTTTTCTAATGATTACAATAATAAATACTTATTTATAACAATAACAGCATTTATATGCATTATTGTATATATGTAGCAGAAGGATATATCCGTCCGAGGAACCTTTATAGTTAGCGTCGACGACTCACGACGGGCGCTGAATCGTCACAATCATTTCTAGGGACACCGTGGATCCTCACACAACGTCGAAATTATCAGTGTCACTTACATTCTCACACTGATATACATATTGTCGACGACGTCAAACGCGAGCAATATCCTAAATACTTTCAGTCCGTCCATAATCGCGTTACGTCATCACATATTCACCTCCCAGAGTTTGAAATAGTTGTCGATCACTTCCAGAAACCACTGACGTCTTTTTGGATCCTTAAAAGCTGGCGCCAATGTCCGCAATTGTAGTTGCAGTAACGCTTCGTCGCCCAACAGGTTGTCTAGTTGCTTAAGCAACGCCGTGTCGCCATGCAACTTTAGTAAACTGACGTAAGTGAAGATATAATATTGCACCCGAAGACGTTGCACGGCCCACGCCTCCACGCTACGATTGCCGCTTGCCGATTGTATGGAACCCGTATGCTCCGCATACCATGGTGAAAAGTAATTGCCCAGCTCGAGAGACGACAGCTCCGCGACTCCCCGTGTCTTCAACCTTTCTTTTATTCGCGAATATACTTGAGGAGTGTATACGAATACCTGGAAAAAAACATTCCTTTCATTACACATTTGTCAAATGACGCGTCCGAATTTAGGATCTGCGAATTTAGGATCTGCGAATTTAGGACGACGAGATGCTTGTTGAGATCATCGTGTCCAATTAACGAAGAGACCTCTTGATTACGACATCGTATATTTCAGACAGAGAGTTACGTGATTTCACTTTTACTGACATTGGCGAGATGATGTAAACTATTAGTAAGAACTAGACTCGGTATAATAGGACGTGTTTTTATGCAGTTTACATATGTAAACTGAATTAAAAACGCATTTGTATTAGTCAAGAGAATGTACGATAAATGAGTTTTGTTTCACTTTTATCTAACCGAGACTGCAGCATTATTTTCACGGTAAGCCGATTGCAACAGTGATCAATGAATTGCATAATCAAGAAAGATGCGCCGATGCGAAAGAAACGAATTTCGTGCCTATTTTTATTATCGTTACGGCATTGAAGCGTTGATCGCAATTTCACGTAAGTGCAGCGCACATATGACATACATTTTTCATCTTTTTCTTAAAAAAAGAAAATTCTCTTAGTCGTGAATATATATTTATTATTCTATTTTGTTAGAATGCATTTGATTAATTATTGCATGCATCATTTAATGAATTATTGCAAAATTAACGCATGTATAACAGGTATTCATAGTCCGTTCTTATTTTAAGATTGTCTTAAGTAATGTCTCATTAATGAGACTGTGACCGATATTCATAGTCGATTTTTATATTTAAAACTGTTTGAAATACAGATACCATAAACAACAAGTATTAATATCTTAAAACATTACTTAAGACAATCTTAAAATAAAAACGGATTATAAATACCAGTTTGTGATTAGTTTATGACATCTTAAGATTACTTAAAACGATCTTATAAATATGAGAACAAGTATAAGAACCGATAATAAGATTATGAATACCGACCTATATCTCGCGTTAATTCTTATTTTGTTAAAAATGATTAGTTATTATTATTTATCAAAATATTAATGGATCACTTTTACAATCTGACTTTTAAAATTAGATATTCCGATCGCTTACTTGATAAAGCGAATTTCCCGTAATATAGGAAGCGATGTAGTGTGAACCGAAGTTCCTGATGAATCGCACAACACTCGCGGTATCGCCGACCGTGACGTTCTCGGTTTGCCGCAACACGGAATCGTCGAGGACGAGAGTCTCAGCGGTGCCGGCGAGTCGTTGATTATCACGAAATCTAGCGACACGTACGAGGACGTAACAGTGGTCGCCCGTGATGAAGGACGAGTTTATGCCAAGGTGCCTGGCTATGGCCGTCTTCGACCAACTACCAGTGAAGGCACGCCACGGCCTCTCGAGCTTCTCGAAAGTGAAGTCACGGAAATAGGCTTGCAGAAGCTGTCTGTAAATATAAATTGAATATATAGAGAAATCGCGTTATTTTGCGATTTATCATCGCCGAGAATACAAACTTTTTCTAAGCTTCCGCTTAGAATTAACGAATAACAAATTGCACTGTACTATTAAATATCAAAAGAGCAATGACAATACAATCTCTTGAGTTAAATAATATTTTATTATTTTTAACTTCCATGTGTGTCAAAATATAAATCAATTCATTTCTGTCATTAATTTTAAAATAAACAACTTCCATATTAATGTATGTACTTCGTAAATAATAAACTGAGCCAAAAATTTAGTACATTTTCTTGAGTTAAATTGTTTAACTCCATTGTTTTTTAAATCAATAATGCATTAAGTAGGAGCAGTGGCGACTTATAGAAATGATTAAAAATAACTCAAATTGAATATAATTTGATATTATAAATTTAACAGTGAGTATATATTTTTTATATCAAATTTTATATTAAATTTTATATCAAATACTCGCATTTACAGTCCCTGGCCACATTATTATGACCACCTTATCTTTTTTGTACTCTTTTCTATTTGGTTAAATTTTAAATATATATTATGATTTATTGAACAATTTTATGTCTAATCAATTAATTACAATTTGGCAATGTTAAATCAATTATATTTTATTATAAAATACAGCAAACAAAACATGCAAAATAAATATAAATTGTTGTTAGATATGTTAATAAAGCATAAATAAATAAGTTAAACATAAGTCATTATTTAACTTATGATATACAAATCTTTCTACCACTTTTTATAAAAATTTGCCAACTTATCATAAAAATATCAAATAAATTCAACAGTGATCATAATAATGTGGCCAGGGACTGTAGTTCATCGCGATACCATGAAAAGTTTGAAAATAACTTTGATGATTAGAGGTATATCCAAACAAGCCACATGAATTCTATTGATTTTATCTGTTTTTTTGCAAAGACATTGCGTGTAATCACATACCTGATATTGTCGCAAAATTCCATATGGAAATCGCCGTCGAAGACATTAGTGCTTTTGTCTGCTTGGTGTTGCTTAGGCGGCAACGGCGTGGAATTCTTGAAGACGTCGAGGGTGGGTTCTCGGAATATCCAGGTCTCCGTATCGTTACGCGGCACTACTCGCATACTGATGCTCAGGTAACCGTAACGACTGAAGACGTTCACGGCGCCGCCGAGTCGCGGACGCTGCGACCTGGTGATGTGGACGCCGATCAGTAACGCGAGCATCGATGCCAG